ACTTTCGCAAGGCACTGTATATGATCCACAATGGTATGGCCATTATAATTCTCTGGCAGGCAATACAATACTCTGTCTGGGACTCTGTGTATACACCAGACCAAAAGTCACTCTGCTGTTTCTCCATATACTACGTCTTCTTATGTTTTTCTGATGCTGTTTTATGATTTGATTTGATGTTTTAGATTTGACTGTCCCAGTTGGAGATTGTTTTCAGGGAACATACAGATACACACACAGCAGGATACAGACATGGACAGTACATAAAATCTTCATGTCAGGCTCCTTCCAGTATTTCAGGCCACAACAGCATCACCAAGGCAGCTTTGTTCTGGGCTGCTATGGTGCAAGGGACAAAACTCCTGCTGAAGCGAAGCGTCACTACTACCATCTGGTCATTATTAACAACTAGTTTGCTGTCAAATTCTTTAAAAGATGGACGATGGAAGAGCAACTTAAGCTGTAATTCATACCTGGAGGAATGGATTGTGAATCACCATAAATCCTACATCCTAAAGCATGAGCTCATATAACTATACTAGAGTATGTTTCAAGGTAACTGAAACCCTTTATGTCAAAGTCCTTGTAATAAGGGTTAGGTAAAAAGTAATAATAATAATAATCTTACAAGATTACTATTACTATTATTAAGTGTTGATACAATGACTAGCTTTGTGAAAGAACTCCTCTCAATAGACATTTGGAGACATAACTACCCATATGTAATATTTATTCACATTTGTCAAATTTGTAATGCGAGCATAGAAAACATAAGGCTTTTTTGTCTATAAAGTGTTTCTACTGAGAGGAGATCTTCCATGGAATTAAAAACCTGATTCTTACACAAAGCTAGTTATTGTATCGACACTTTTCTAAGGATCCAGAGTGCATAAAATCACCAACGTTAATAGACTCACCAGGGAGATCGGAAATCAAATACAGGATCATAATTCTTCAGACTGACTGACATAAATCAGATTTTTTATTTCAGACAAAGGGGACATAAAACTATTATTGCCCTTTAATTTATGCCTTTATACACACTATGTAGATATATAGATACTGTATTTTTAGTGACTTATTCTGTGAGTATTGAGAATATTGCTTCCAAGTATTTTATCCCACACATCACTCGATTCACAGTTTATTCACAGTTATTAAAATTTCTTTAAAATAACCTTAACTGTGTTAAACAGTGGCGTACCTGTGGGCTATTATTAACATGAACCTGACCTCTCTTGTCATCAGCATCATGGAATAATAATAAAGAAGGAAAACAACGTACAGTCCCAACAAAAACAGAGCATGAGTCCATGTCCATTCTTCCCTGCTGTGGCTGTAATTGATCCCAAGGAGCTGTCAAAACAAGAGCTTGAAACACTCTCTATTCATTAAAAGCTACAGTACAAATACCATGTTGTATGTTTATGTGTTCTGAAGCTGTGATAGTTAAAAACAGCTTGTGTGAATTATCTTTTTCCAATCTTTTCCACTGGCTCCTGCTGAGCTCTTAGGGTCAGTATTTGTTTTTTCAGTATAAATTGAATTCTAAAAGCACAAGTGTTAATAGTAACAGTAAAGATGATAAAAATGGAGCTGGGCAGTTATTCATAGGTCTGGGACATCAGTGGTCCACACAAACAGGTGTATCCACTTATTTTGCTTGATTAGACCTAGTTTGACATGGCATTTGTCTGACACTCCTAGTAGTTGTGTTGCAACTTGTTAGGGTGGGAGAAATATAACATGAGCAGGGAAGAAGTCAGAATAAGTGAAAACACATGTGGATGTGCATAGCCTTTAAAGGTCTAGTATGTAACATTTAGGAGGATCTATTGGCAGAAATGGGATATAATATTCATAGGTCTGTTTACCAAAAAAATAAGAATCGTTGTGTTTTCATTAACTTACAATGAGCTGTTTTGATACAGAGGGAGCGGCCACAGAACGGACCAACCAAACACTGGCTGTAGATAGGGACTTTTATTTTTTCCTTTAGCAGTAATCTGCAACTTTACCGCTATAGATGCCACTAAGGACGGGTTTGCATGATTTAGTGGCATCTAGTGGTATAGTCGCAGATTACAACCCCCTCGCTTCACCCTCTTCTTCCAACCCCAAAGGAGAGACTACAGTGGGGGCAAAACACGTGTAAACACGAAAGGTCCTATTTACAGCCAGTGTTAGCTTTGTCCATTCTGGGCTCCTGTAGAAACACGGCAGATCAACATAGTGGCCTCCATGGAAGGCGACCCGCAGCATTTGTAGATAAAAACATCTCATTCTAAAGTAACGAAAACACAATTCTGATTTTCAGGTGAATATACACTAATGAAAACATACCTATGAATATTATATTCCAATAGATCCTCCTAAATGTTACACGTTAGAACTTTAGAACAAACTAGGATACTTTCACTGTGGACATCCTTCTGCCATCATGAGATTTAAAATTTCATTGACTACTTTATTTTGAGCTTTTTGTATTGAGGTCTCAGTGAGCAATGCCCTCCATGCATGAACACAGAGCCCATGGAAACTGCAGGCAACCATGGCAACAGTAGTGATGCTTCAAGCAGTTTGGTGAAACAAACCTGATGAAACTGTGAGTTAAACTAACTAAAACAAAATATATTACAGTACTATTCCACCACTGTACCTAACCTAATTTGGTTAGAGTTTATTTTAATTGTATACAGGTTTGTTTGTATAGATACTTTTATCAGATTAGGGACTGATTGCACATTAAAGTGTTATTAAGACTAGAAGAGAACATGAGCTTACCAGACATCTGTAGCCCGCTCTTCATCTCTGCTTGAGACCAGTGGCTCGAGGCTACATTAGCAGCAAGTAGCATAACTCTACCGTTTCTGCATCAGGTCTTGACAAGAAAGAAGAACTAAATTCCTGGTTCTGCTGTCCATGTCAAACGAATGCAATGAGTACACTACTTCTTCTTTTCATTCTGTAAAAACATAACAAATATACCTTGTTAGCAAACAGGAATACTTGTCCAATTTGTTTTCCAGATCGGACCACCTTCGGATTGACTCTTGCCTGCCTCACCATCCCGTATGCCTCTGTACTTAATTGTGTTCATAAAATCACTGCATCAGCTCTGCCTCAGGCGTCTGCATTTGGGTCCTATCCCCAGTGTTCTTGTTACACTAACACCAGTCCTGACAGAGGGCCCCCCATACATGCACCAGTATCTTCCTATTGTACACCACTGTGCAATAACTTACAAGACACCCTCAAAGAGCTGCTTTCATCCTTCATTCAGTGGACCCCCACCTACAAAAATGAAACTATTCGATTAAAGTCGCCTGCAATTACCTCAAAATAAAAGTGCGTTACATAATAACTCTTCACCACTACCAATAATGTCCTCAATCCATGTGAGGCTCAAGGCAAAGTGAGGGGAGGGTTCACTGAATCCACCGTGTCTTTATTATGTTTGTTGGCACACAGTAACTTCCTTCCTCTGAGATTGACCTGTTGTCTGTTGCCAGGGCAACTGTTGTTCATTAAAGGCATCATCTCCTGGGGGCGGCGCGTTTGGGTCCGTGTCACCCACCCAGAGATACCTCCTCACTGCCAGAGAGGAACCTGAGGGAGCTGAAGTGAGGAGGATTGACAGGGAGAAGAAGTACGTGAGTCATGGATTGTTTTTGTTCACAATAGCACCCGACAAGTCTGGGATTTATTTAATTTAACGTGAGACTGATCTTTTATTTTTTTTCAACCGTGTCATCAACAGATCTCTCAATCATCATCGTCATCATGAGGAAGATCACCGGCAAACACTTGTTGTGCTTCTTCCTGCTCGCCTTCCCGCTGTCCTGGGCAGAGGACACAAAGAAAGATGCGAGGAAGACTGAGAATGATGAGCACATTCAAGCTGGTAAGGCGACATCGTGAACGACAATTGTGCATCTTGCTGGATAAAAATGTGGTTATCATAGACTGATGTGGGTTCTCAATATTTTAATTTAGTGTGCAATCATCCAGCGTATCCATGGGCTTGTTTTCTGAAGTAGTAGCCTAAATAAAATGAGCAAATAAATATAATTTAAAAGGAGGGGTGACAGAGGTTGCTCGCTTCAGCGTGGCTTATTGCTCACATTTAAATATGTATTTTAAATGATTTTTTTTAAAATAAATTATAAGAGAAAGACAGGTTTTGCAGATCAACTAAAGTGGTTTGATCACAACATATATAAAGTATAATACATATCATTAAATTCATGAAAACTGACAAAATGTCTTCTGTTTAAAAAAGAAAATATTCCTCTTTTAACTAAATTTGCATGAAACCAATGTTCTAATATCTGGTATGGTTTTAACATTTTTGAAGCAGAAAAGAGCCATTAGAGAATAATAATGTAAATGTTAAACAATGTTTGGTACAGTTACAGCAGCACACCAAAAGCATTTAACTGGTAAAACAAGTTTATTTTGAAGTAGTCACAGGAAATGCAATGTGTTTGTCAGTGAGATTAGCACTGACTGTTATTGACACTAACTGCTATCAAAAAGGATGTCGCCAAATGCACGCCGACTGAAGATATTTGAGATTGCGCCTGGCAGGTGGACATATGACGCCTTATGGAACGCTGGTGAAAGGAACATGTAAGCAAGCAGTTGGCACATCCAGTTGAAACTGAGCTATATTAGCATCCATCTAGACACTGTAATTACAGTCTGTAATGAATGTAAGGCCCATATTCACACTCCTTTTTGATCTTTTTTTTAGTCTCTACCATCTCCTGAGGAAAATATTTGACTCTTTAGTGTGTGTACACCAGCTACTCGCTAACATTGTCTGTTGGTCATTTGCTGCTGGAGATGTGGCATACAGTGTGTTTATCTGAGCTTTTGTTAAGATTTGGGGGTTTTCATTAGTTATTTCCTGTTTTATTTTGTAGTTTCCTCCTCTTGTGTCTTGTTGTACTTTACTTCCTGTCTTTTTGCCGCCGTTTTTGATTGTGTGCCCTGTTTAGATTGTGTTTACCTGTGTCTAATTAGTTTTCCCTTTCTATAGTATATATTCACTCAGTGCTAGTTTGTCCCTGGTCTCATGTGAATAAACCAAATCAAACTAAGAATAAAAAAGCGTTAAGGATTTTAATGTGGGATGGGGAAGCATGAGGTGAAAAGCTCCAGAGTTTGAATGCCAGACAAATGTTGGTTCTCCAGAAAGTTCTGGATTTCAAGCACCCAAGTAGTGATATCTAAAAAGGGGAAGATGAAAGTGGAGATAAGGGCCTCAGCATCAGCAGGAGGAGAGGCATGAAACACCATGAAGACATTTTGTGAAATATCTGATATCTCGACATCTGGTCAAAGATTAGTCCCAAGGTGTTGAGCTGGATTGTGTAGGAAGGGAAGGTGCTGCAGCCATCAAACGGAAAGTAAAGAGTTTGGAGCCAAGAAGGAGGATGTTTGATTTGTTGCCTCTGTGAAGTTGCGTATAGCATCCAGGTTGTAAAAGACGTGTTGTGGTACGAAGGTGAGGGTTTTGAAGGTGTAGTGGTTGAGGGCAGCAGAGAGAAGGTGTGAAGCCAATCATTTTGATTCTCATTGGACCACCGACAATCTTAGCTGCTGTTTCTACCTGTAAAGAATATAATACAGCCAAAACCTTTGATATTGATCCAGCTCCATATGTTTATGGGAACATACCAACACGCTTCAAAGCAAACATAGTAAATTATGTCCATCTGTACAGATGTAGATCTGACATGGTGAAATAATTTACTGGAAAAAAAAACAAAAACGTACTGTTCTCAATGCTGTTTGGCAATGTTAGATGTACAAACAAAACGATTTTAGCATTGATTTCACATGTATGCAGTCTTCAGTTAGAGATGGAAACCCATGATAGAAATGCTCCTATTTCAGTGCAATGAAGAAAAATGTAAAAGCAAATAATAAACACTGATGCAACTGTCAGTTGAAATTATCTCAAAAGACAAATATCTAATGGTAGTTTGATAGAAAATAAGCATTTCTCAAGGTCATTACTACCTTCTTTTTAACAGGATGGAGTAGCTCAGTTGACATCGCATTAATTTGACTGTAGTTACATTCTTGGGTGATGTGATGACAATTGAGCATCTTCTAAGGGAGACTGTGAGATACGAATGAAAGCTCCAGAAAAGGAGGCCTTGAGTCAAGTTTTTTTTTGGTTTACAAGGTTAGGATGAATGAATAGGAATTTCCATTCTTAATTATTATGTTTGCAGTTTTATCAATATAAATCCAACAAATCTACATCTACCTTTGAGTTGTATCTTTTCATCACCTCTTTATTTAGTTTTACAACAACACGAAGAAAATGTACAATAATAAAGTGTTTCGACTCCAGTTTACCTCGTTTTCTATCTCCTGCTACACTGGGTCTACACACCAGGTCTCTTTGTCAGAATCCTCTCTGTTTATTTAAGTTCTGCATTCAACATGATCCGGTGTCATCAGATGATAAATAAGCTCCAGTCCCTTAATTTCACCCCATTTCTCATCCACTGGATACACAACTTCCTCAGGGACAGACTACATACTTTAGGGCAGGGGTGTGAAACTCATTTTAGTTCATGGGTCACATACAGACCAATTTGATCTCAAGTGTGCCAGACCAGTAACACTATTGCATAATAACCTATAAACAACAATACCTCCAAATTTTTCCCTTTCTTTTAGTGTAAATAAGTACATTTTGAAAATGTTCACAAATAATGAACCATCAGGTGGTGAACAGCCTAAGATGTCTTTAGAAAACTACTGTCATTACATGTGCATTACAATTTACAGATCACTGCAGATCTACAAATGTATAAAACTTTTAGTCACATGTATTTTTGGAACTGCAATAGCATTTTATTTCTATCTTTTTCCGGTGGATAAATTAAGTATAGCAGTGCATTTGGCGTAAGGGCCGTATGTTTGACACACCTGCAGGAAGGGTCGGCATAACAACATCTCCACCGGAGGCCCACAGGACTGTGTCCTCAGCCCCTTCCTCTACGCCCTGTACACTTATGACTGCACTAGCCCATCTCCCATACTCAAAACAATGCCATACTTCTTAATGACAATCACTTTGTGATGACTATTCAACACATCTCTCATTTCTTTCAGTATTGTAACAATAATAATCTACAGCTAAATGTGAGTTAGACAAAGAAACTGGTTTGCCAACTCTAACACAGACTGCATCTCCCTGAATCCCATTTCCACCAATGCTGAGACAGTTGTGCAGGATGAGTTTCAGTTACCTCATAATCACACTGGACAGTAAACTCAGTTTCGACCAACACAACACTGACATCAACAAACACTGACAGCAAAGACACTTCTCTATTCTCCGACTCAAAGCGCTCTCTTGTTGCCCGCCAACTTCTGTTAGTGTTTAACAAAAGCATAATTTAATCCACCTTACTCTATTGCTCCCCATTTTCTCACCATGCTGTCTCCAACTAGAACAAGTTGTCCAGTGTTACACACACTGCTTCCAAAATCAATGGTCTCCCAAACCGCAACCCCTCAGATCTCGATAACAGACCACTCATGTGGCACTCACCATGACATTTCCCTCAACTCAGTTTTCAATCTACTCCCATATGGCCGCAGATGCAGGACCCTGCCATAGGGAACAGTGCTGCATTGTTAATCACAAGAACACAGCATGTTCTGTACAAATGTATTTATGTTGTATGTAAATGTAAAAAAAAGCAGCTCTGTGAGGTTGAGTTTAGACATACATTTTTACAAATTGACAATCTGAGAATCAGTTTAGGACTAGAAGAACAATCAATGTAAATGAAAATGTTATAAAAAATAAGTTTCCACATAATGCTTTTTTATCAACGCCTCAAGGAGCCACTAAAGAGGATCTAGAGAGCCACATGTGGCTCCGGAGCCGGAGGTTGCTTACCCCTAGCCTAGACCGACATGCCACTCATTATAGCAGTAGTAACGTGAAAAACTGAAACAGCAGAGCCGTCAGCTGGAGATGTAACTGTTTCAACATACTGATAAATGAATGTCACATTTTCCAAAACTTATCTGACGATCCCTTTAATGGGAACCAAAATTTTTCACGTTTAAGAAAACACAGACTATATGTTACAACACTCTTTCTGGCTGTTATCCAACAAGAATGAGTGGGAGATGTAGACTTCCAGTTGTACAGCAATAAATCCTCCTGCCAACAGGCTGACAAATGATGCAGAAAAGGAGGATGAAGGAGGGATCAAAAAGAAAACAGTAAACACTGTTTCTTTAGTAATATTTGATAGAGTGTTGAAAACTCTTCCAAGTAGTTTCATAAAGATGGACATAGCTAAAACATTTGCAAAAATCTTTTTCATAGAGCCAAGAAAACACAGACTCTCAAATTGTTCTTCCTCAGAGGAGGCCTTACAAAGGTCATCACCTGATGACAGAGTAATTGATCTCCCTGAAGATTCCTCTACATGGAAGGACGCCCAAATTGTCAAGTCAGTGAGGCTGCATTTTCTTGCTTTGAGCAGTGAATTCCTCACACCAAAACCCGGATAAACAGGTGTCAACACTCTTCTCTGCCATCACCCACCAATTACGTTGGAATGCACTGGACCTTTACCCTCCTCCCTGTGGGTGGTGAGCCCATAAGGTGACTACCCCCTGTTTGGCTGTTTGAGCTGACCCAACCTGACCCTATGGTTCCCATACAGTTCCCAGGGTCACACAAACCCATTCACTACAATAAGACCCAGATTCTGCGAGGATAGAGTGAAGAGCTCAGACATCCCAAAGAAGCTTAGAGAACTTGTGTTCCTTCACATTGAAAGTAGCCAGTTGAAGTGGCGTCTTTATTCTTTATTCTTAAATTGGATCGTAATTAGCTTCCACAAAGTGGTGGCTAGTCTTCCTGGGGTCCACACATTTGATCAGGGTGGCCCTCTGTGGAGGTATCCTAGGCACATCCGAACACACCCAGAACACCCATCTGAGCTATATAGTCTTAAATACATGCTTAAAAAATCCTGCTTGCAATCAAGCGTTGACCTGACAGAACAAAGAGAGAAAAATAAACAAGAAGCCGCATTGTTGTTTCTATGTGTGTGACGGGAGGTCTCAAGAGCGTGTGGTGAAGTTTTTGCTTTTCTTGGCCAGTGAAACTGAGTTAACCTCCAATCAAAAAAAATACAGGGATTATTATAATAATCAATGTTTGTTGAGTGTGTTTATAAACAGTAAACAATGATTTTTTTCTATCATGTACGACCCTAGTTTGGAGCCAAGTGAAGACCAGAAGGCTGTTTGCGAGGCGAAAGATTTCTCCACCACAGGAAAGTCACATTCCTGTAAGTTTTCTTTGTTTTTCCTTTTCACTAAGGCATGCTCATGAATGCATGAAATGATAAGTTCTTGACTAAAGGTTATTTGAATGTAAATTTTGAAGGCAGCTGGCAGTGTATGTTTTTATTTGTTGCACATGTGCATGAATGTTTTAATCCAAATCTTCCCTCAAATTTTACTTCAAAGTTTGAAAATCACACATATTCAACTACAGCGTCTTCTTGTTCCCACATTTCATAGAAACTTCATCATATAAACAATACTGAGTGAAATATGTTTTTATGATTGTTGCTGAGTGCATCATTTGGACAGATTTTTCTGTAATTCCTCATGACTTTCGGCCTTCGGCCCAGTGGCAAAATAATGGTAGAAAGAAACGTACATCCCACAGGTCCAACAATGAGATGAGTGGGTTGAAAACAACACACACACACAGCACCGATTTCCTCCAGGAAGGTCTCATATCTCAAAATAATAATAAATCAATAAATAAATACAGCAAACAGTTTTATTCCAGCAGACACAGAGAAACATAGCATTTGTTTTGAAGTTGTGTTTCTGGCCACAATGAATGGAAGTTCAACACATTCATTTTACCTCCATCCTGGTCTCCTCGACCTCCTGAGGGAAGTATATGCTAGTGGTAACATTGTGTGTCAGCTGTTTAATGCTGTACAGTGGGATCATCTGAGCATTTTCACTAAAAACAACTGCATGTTGTCTGAAAACAATGCTGATGAGCAGTGAAAGTAAATAAAAAGAGTAAAGTTTTGGGCCATGAAACCAAAACAGTGAGCTGAAAGACACTAAAACGCTCTGGAGAGCTGAGGGGAACTCAGGAGTTTTCACATTACATCTTGTCATTTGACCCATTGTGCATATAAAAATATTGATTAGTGCAGCTTTTAAGTTAAGTTTTTTGTGTTTAATCTATGCTTTTCCACCCACGAGTCATGAGTCAAATGGGGATTTTAACGATTTTTCTGTTTAGTTGTGAGAATGTAAATAATGTAAATTCTCCCTCTGTTGGTGTTCTTCCAGAAACACAAGTCCAACCTTATGACCCCTGCTCGTCGCTGCGGCCGCCTGATGGAAAGCTGCTCCTCTCACATGCCGTGCTGCGACCCCTGCGCCTCTTGCCGCTGTCGCCTCTTCAACACCATCTGCCACTGCTGGAGGATGAACCCGCTGTGCTTAAAGAGGACATAGACGAAGCACAAACATACATGTGCAGACACAGCCAGCACCTGGACATATAGAGTGATAAGACACATTTACACAGAGAAATGCACACACACGACACACTTCAGGCCTGTGGGTTTCCTATGTTACACAAAGGTGCAGTTCAGAGAATATTATTACTGTTCAGCTTAAACTAGAAACATTTGGAAAACAAAAAACATAATGACATTAAAGGTCAAAGTTCTTTCCATTGGCTGAGGCTTCAACACTTCAGTAATGGAAGTAGAGACGGGAATGAAAGAGTGAAGTCTAGTTTACTGCTTTCAGTCTACTGAGGCATGAATAAGAAAACACCCACAGAAATGTTTACAGAGTATCCAAATACCCAACATACAGTATGTAGGTGTAACAAAGGACGACTGACATGTGCTTTTTCATGTATGTAGACAATCACGTGTAAACTGTGTTGTGCCTTAGGTATTTCCCACACTGTTGCTGCTTTTGAATGTCTTCATCATTTCTGCCCTCTGCTCTCCTGCCATGTTAAACATGTTGGAACCCATAATAACTGCATTTACATCAGAACATACATTTCTTTTTTTAAACTCACTCCCCTACAAACTAAATGTGGAAAAAATAAAACAAAACCATATTTTTAGAGTCATCAAGATTTTGTGTCCAATCATGGCTTGGAGAACAGATATATTTGGGTCTTATTACCAATTATATGTGTGGATTTATGAGTTAAAGTTAGTTTATATTTTTGCTATTGAATAAATACATCATGAGCTTATATTGTCTTTGTGTTTTTGTTTGTTTGTTGCCTAAATGTATAATTACAAGTCACTTCTGGGAGGAAGCAACATTTCATTTAGGAAATTGGAGACATTCAATGAAACTAATGCAAAAAAGTAGTTGTTGTGCAAGTGTTTGCCGGCAGCTATCTTATGAATAAACAAGGACTTAATCTTAGTATTCTTTCAATAAAAAAAAAATACAGGGAATCTTAGATTGCATGGAAAGCAGAAAGATCATGAACATTAGCTCTGTGTGTAGGGGGCCAAGTGTGTTTCCAGGAAGTGTGTGCATGCACAACAAACAATAAAATAGACATAATGCAGTTTTGCATCTCTGAAATCCTATCCAGGCAATCTTTGCCCCACATACTGTATTAACTTGTCTGGAACGCCATCTGCTCCTCTAATGGAAAGTGAAGAGAAGGAAGGATATACACATAATGAAATGTAACAGTAGCTGATATATTTTGATTGATAATCTATTTCATAGAGGTCATCATATGTTCAGTACATTCTCAAAAGCCATGAAAATAAAGGAGTTAAAGATGTGATATGTTACTGAAAAGAGCCTAAATAACATTACAGCATTGTATCTGTGATTGAGAAACCCATATAAGGTCCCTGAGGTGAACACATGAACTGTGTCTGATTAAGTCAGACTTGCTCAAATTAACAACAGTCATGCATGTAGGGAGGAAGACATGAGGACAGCTCTGTGATTATTTTAACATAAGCCTTCGAGGACTTCAAGGAATATTATAAATGGCAAAAATGTAATCTTCTTCTTTCATAAACCACCGGATCAGTCTTCTGCCTTGGCACAGATTTGTTCTAACAACTGCAAAATGTATAAGCGACCACTGATTGGACATTTTCTCTTACAAAGAAAAACATGTTCTTTGATTTATATACTTTCATTTAGATATTTCTTTTAGTGGATACAGAGTACATTACACTGAAGGGGGAAAAAAGAGCGATTAACTTGTATAGCCAGACTGAATGCACTCGAGAGCAGGAACTGAGACAGCAAACACTTTTAGAGCAGCTATGGAATTTCTTGGTGTCAAAGAGGAAGGGAAAATAACTGCATGAATGTTAGTCAGAGAGGGAATAATGCAGAAGTTACTGTAAAAGAAACAAAGAGAGACACATCTGCAAACAGAAACACCACTTTAACTGCAGCCAGGCTTGTTGGGAGCTCTTTTGGCATCATGGCAGAGCTCAGTTTCAATGTGGATCACGGCTATCTGGAGGGTCTGGTTCGAGGTATGAAGGCCGGGATTCTAACTCGCACTGACTATCACAACCTGGCCCAGTGCGACACACTTGAGGGTAAGAATATTGTTTCTCATTGTCATTTTTGGAATGTATTATAACCTGCCAACAGGCTGTACCTGCAGCTACACCCTTTTCTTTTTATTCTGGTGGTGTGTGTGGGTAGCTACAGTGGAGTGCTGACAGGACCTATCTTATCAGTTTCTTCACCTGGATCCCATTTTTCAAAAGATAAAGTGAAATTTCTTTCCAAGAATCAGGCATTCCTTTCTGGGAGAGAAAGAAAGTCAGTGAAGACGAAGACCAATGAGATGTTAGGTTGTATTTGTATATTTATTAATTTTCAGGAATGTTTACACTCCTTTTATCAGTTGTAATAGTTTGTCGACACAATTTTCAAAACAGACTCCAAAATTGCAAAATTGTATTATACGTGTGTATATTATTTGTCTGTGGTGTGTGCAGTGATAGTTAGTCATAATCAGCTGTAATGTGTTAAACATGTCAATCAAAAGTCAGGAATAACCATGTGCGAATTATATAATGTATGATTCATCTCTTTTTTTTGTAACAACAACCTAACAGGAAGTGGGAAAAAAATGATTTGAGAGCAGAGATGCCTGTGATGTAATGGACACAAGTACAAAACCTTTAGGTGTTTTTTCTCCTCAGACATGAAGCTGCACCTGCAGAGTACGGATTATGGTAAACTGTTGTCCTCCTCTGAAGAGGACCTGACTGTGTCCCTGGTGGACAGCAAGCTGAGGGAGTACCTGGTGACTGAATTCAGCTGCCTTCGCTCCAACGCCCTGCCTCCATTATCTACCTTCCTTGACTATATAACGTACGTTAAGACACTACAATCATAAATCATACAAAGGTCACAGGATAATTACTTTTACTGCATTTATATATCCATTCAACATTTTCTTTCTGTTTTTTAATCTCCAAAAGAAAAACTGTGGTTTCTAAAATTAAACGCCTTTTTTTAAGGGAACTATGTCCTTAATAAAACGGAAACAATAAGAAATATCATGCAGACAAATAAAAGCACATCCATTCACTCTGTGTTTCCATAGCTACAGCTACATGATCGACAATGTGGTGATGCTGATCACCGGGGCCCTGAAACAGAGAGATGTAGCAGAGCTCCTCCCGCGGTGTCACCCACTGGGAGCGTTTGACCAAATGGCCGCAGTGGGCATTGCTCGAACACCGACTGAGCTCTACTCAGCCATCCTGGTGGACACACCGCTGGGTAGAGTCATCAAATAATCTTTGTTTAATTCCCAAACACAAAAATAATATCACTCACAGTCGTTGCAAGTCAATTGAAATTAACCACCACCAGTTTACAGTGGGAGGAAACACGTCTGTTAACTCTTTGGAATATGGAAGCCCATTTGTGCATGGAAAAATGAAAACAAAAGAAACTTGTGGTTAAGTCAAAAATGTGATTTATTATATTAGAATTTTAACTTTTATGTCAAAATGCTGACATACAGTAAGGTGGCTGGTGACTAATAGTAATTGGCAAGCTAACCGCTAAACACGCTAGGCAGCCAAGTGTGTGCTAATCAGTCACAATAACCTAAGGTTCTTTCTATCTTCTCTATCCTGAGCTATTTACTCCTCATGTTTTGTTCTCAGGAGTTCTTGAAAGCTAATTGATAGTTAATTGCCAGTTAGCAACACAGCTAATAAGTTATGATAGCTTTCTCCATTTTTTTTCTGTTGGTCAATGGCACAAATTTGCTGGTCAGAACTCAACATGTGAATCAAATCACATTTAATCCTTCAGAATAGGTCTATTTGACTGATTCGATTCCTTGCAAAAATGTCTTTAGTAATTTTTTAATTTTCAGTTTTGATTTACTACACGCTTTTTTTTAAATCATTTATATTGTAAGTTCTGTTAGATTAATAAAAGTCATATATGATACAGACTAATGACAAAACTGATACCCACTGCGTTGTTGTGTCATAGCTCCCTTTTTCCAGGATGCTGTATCTGAGTCCAACCTGGATGAGATGGAAGCTGAGATCCTCAGAAACAAACTGTATAAGGTGACAGTGAATGTGTGTGAGTGTCCGTGTAGATTATGGACTCTAAGATTTACTGCTGTCTCAAACATGTTGAACAATTCCAGATGACATTTCGTGTTGTGCAATGGCTCGCTGAAAGCTTAAGTCACCATCTTTGGTTGAGGCCAGGTTTTCACATACATCAGCAGACGTCTGATGATCTTTTGTTTTTGTTTTAAAGGCATATTTAGAGTCTTTCCACTCTTTCTGCAAGAACATTGGTGGTGCTACAAAAGATATAATGTGTCCTATCCTGGAGGTACTGTAAGAATTTCCATTACATGAGCTGGATTTGTTTCTATATAAGACATTTTGCTGAAATGTTCTGTCGATATGTTCTTTTTACATGTGTGTGTTCTGCAGTTTGAGGCAGACAGGCGGGCCTTTATCATCACAGTGAACTCCTTCGGGACAGATCTCAGCGGTGCAGACAGGAGCGCGCTGTATCCATCTTGTGGAAGACTTTACCCTGAAGGGCTGCGACTGCTGGCGAAGGCTGAAGACCACGAGCAAGTCAAAGCTGTGGCCAACTGTTACCCAGTGAGTCTGATCTTATCTTTGAGAGCTACTGTGTTGTTACTGCAGTAAACTGAGGTCAGACACATGGCTAACTTTAACCTAAATCTCCCTGCAGGAGTATAAAATAATTTTTGAGGACCCTGAGCCAGGATCCAACTTTAAGACTCTGGAGGACAGATTTTTTGAACGAGAGGTAATATAACTTTAATGTTTGTTCAGTAAGAGTGTTGTGCACTGTGAACTGATGCAGCGCCCAGATGATTCCTGTTTTCATATAGTAAAATATTTGGAACAAGCAACGCATTTCACACTCCCAGTGTGTGGGAATTCAAAGTTCAATGTATAAGTATGGACAGTTTGATCAAATTATTTTCATATACTGTCGATATGAAAAAATTACCGGTGGTTGGATTCTTTTAAACTCAAACTCAGCTTGACCCTTGTGTAAACTGTGTATCTTAGTAAATCTGCCTTTCTGTCTCTCTGAGCAGCTTCAAATCTTCTCTTTTATCTTTTTTCAGGTGAAGCTGAACACACTCGCTTTTCTGCAGCAGTTCCACTTCGGAGTGTTTTACTCCTACATCAAACTGAAGGAGCAGGAGAGTCGCAACATCATCTGGATCTCTGAGTGCGTCACACAGAGACAGAAGTCCAAGATAGACAACTACATACCCATCTTCCCGGGAACAAATTAACTGAGCAATAAAGAGAAATACATATATTTAACACACAGTTGTAAGATAGCATACAAAGAGGTAATAAATGCACTTAATCAAAAAGTATTTGTTGAGCTCCCTATGATCGAAGTTTGGTTGTGAGGTTTAGTTATTGTGGTTGCACTACAGTCACAAATATTTTCAGTGTTTGTACTACAGACCACAGAAAATGAAAAATAATTAGGCCTCCACTCGCTATAGTTAGTATGTTCACATTGACATTACTGGCACAATATCTGCGTATGTAAAGAAGGTAAACATGTACATTACAGGACGTATAATAATGTGTAACTATACAAAGAAGTACACAATTTAATACAAAATAAAATGTATAGAAGTAATGTTGCAAAAACAGTGGTATAAAAGTGTAACATTAGTTTTAGCAGCTAACAGAGGTCATAAATCACCCATCTTTGCTCTTCATTAGCTCGTCCCTCCTTCAAGCTTTCACTGAAACAAAAAGAAAAACAAGAGGGTAAAATCTATGTTTTGCACTGATACATTTTAAACATCTGCCTCACCAGGACAGTATCAAGATGTGTGAGATGTGTTATGAATCTAATGATGCACATCTTGGTTGTATAATAGTCTAACTTACAGCACTGGACAGGAACATCCAGAGGTATGTAGTTCTGCTGGCAGAGATGAACAAAAGCAGATGCTAATCTGCAGGGAGCTCTGGAGGAGCTCAACTCACACACAGACAAGAACTGATCAGGATCCACCTGACAACGCAGACACATTTTTGTAAACATGAAGCTCACGCACAGTTTCATTTATTTTGTCCGGCTGATATCAGTTTCCTCCATGTCACATCCTTGATTTCATGATTATGGCAGTCAGCAGCGTATTGTCAAACATTCAGCTTTTTTACCAAACTTAAATAAGATTTATTACATTTTATTTTAGCTGAAAATGTGTATATTTATTTGGCGGTATTTCTGTTTGACAGAACAAAGACGTTACATTTCAAAACATTTTCTTAGACCAGGATTTTGTGTCATCTAATCTATGAGTGGTATTCACAAGTGCATAAGGTCGTGTTTGTTCTACCATATGTGAACTTTTCTTATGTCAGGTAAATTAATTTCTTTCGATGGCCATGAAATCCATGAAAGATTAGAGAGGTCAGGGCTGTCTGGTGGTCTCTGTGCCAGATATATGTTTTCACAGTGTCTTATTTCCACATCCAATTAACATGAAAAGAAACTGAGTGTTTTTCTACTCACCACCCTGAAACAGGAACTCAGTGGAGAATCCGGAGAAGAGAACAGAAAGTGGCAGCTCACAGGGCTTGTGTCCACAGGAAAGTGCTCTGTTACACCTGGCAGTTTAATACACTCTGGTTTCATCTAAATACACACATAATCAAACTGCAGGTGAGATCTGGATACATTTATGACAACAGAGCTCCACCAGCATGAATGTGCAGACATTATAGACACAAGTATTTAGAAGTTTGCTTCCCAGTTGTCCCACCTGCCAACTGTAGAAAAGACTGTTGAGGTTTTCAGCTTGAGATCCGTCAGGTAAAGGAGCATCGTTCCCTGCTTCATTGTCGTTGGTCCCAAACAGGCCAGTGGACGTGCCTGTGCAGATAAAAACGTGCTTAAACGCGGTACAACCGTGGACTTGTTTGTACCAAGTCAAGTGTTTTGTTTTCCTACCATGCAGCCATCCATCCAGAGTGAAGCTGCACACCTCAAGTGACAGGTCACATGACACTGACACTCCATTCTGATTGGATACCTGCACACTGTTTGGCCCACTTCGGACAGCCACTCCATTGTCACCGTGAAACGTGTGCATTGCAGCATTATGGCAGTTGGCCTTCACCTACGAGACATTTTCTTTTATTTTTTGCAGACTTTTTAAACAAAGATGTTTTTGGGTGTTAACTGGGACACCAGCATCAACACACACCTGTCCATTATGCTGAATGTTGATGGTGCTGTTATTCATTTCTATCAGAAGGAAGTTATGTGAGTCTGAACTGAGCAGCAGCATGAAGGAAGGGTCAGCGCTGACGTCTTGGGCGAGGAGCAGTGGACAGGAGCCCGGGAGCTCATACAGGTGACCGTCAAATGTCACTACAAACTGATCTGCCACCAGCAGAGCTTGGTCTTATAGAGGGAGACAAAATGAGAAAGACATTTAATTAAATCCTCCGTTATAACCATATTGCTGAAAAAGTTCTAACCATACTTACGTCTAAATGGGCTGTCCATGATCTTCCTTTTGAGGCGATATAGTTCAGCTATGGGTCTGACGGAGGCGAGGGTCTGCAGCGGCCTCAGGAGCCACTCCTCCAGGAGGATCTCCACCAGTCCGGCCTCGACCACCCTGGACCAGGGGAGCGGTGGCAGCGGGACTGACACAGTCACCAAACACTCACTGGAGAAACCAAGAGCACTGGATTCAAAATATCCTCTTGCTTACATCGAGATTGGCAGAGCATCTCAAAATTCAAAGTTTAGTAAGGTTCTGCTTTTAATTAATTTAATTAGAGAGTCCTTCTTCATCTAGGTTGTAGTACCTGGGGAAGAATTTGTAGACAGAAGCAAGTCGTTTTCTGACTCCAGACAAGGCCAATGCCAACCTGGTCTCCAGCCAGTGGTAGGTATGCTGACCTGCCTGGTTCACACAGAATACAGACCATTAATACCCATTAATGTACATGTTTACATGCATATTAGTATGATGCCTCTGATGCTTATCCTAGTTTTGATCATATTTGGAATAAGACGTTTACATAGAACCATAGAAACTTGGATACAAACATCCCTGTATTTATGATTATAACATCAGTGCCCCGACATCACTGCAGGTTCTTCTTTGACTCCTCCACATCCAGTAAATCTGTTACAACTAGTTTCGTGAACATTACTATATTTAGCCTTTCCATCTGCTCTGCATTACCAGATTCAGACCTTCACTTTTATTTCATCATGTAGATCATGCACCTGCACATATAACACAATGACAGGAGACCGGGATAAGGTCTTTACATACCACAGTACCTCAGTTTCTAGCATATCCAGGTTTATCAAAACAGGGATAAAAGCTAACATTTTTGAATTTACATGCACAAAACAAAACAAAACATTAACAGGATACACCAAAAATCCAATCAAAACTGGGATATTTGTGTGTATGTAAACAACTCACTGACACACTACAAAATATCTACATGCTCCAAATTAGCCAAAGAGAAATTCTTAATATTTCTAAAGGTCTAACACAAAACTAGAAAAAATGGCTGATTTCTCACAACATCCAGGGCGACGCTGAGCATGGCGACGCTGGCCTGAGCCAGCGGCCTCAGCTGAGGGTTCCCCAACAGAGCAGGTAGGACCTCCACCGGCCAGTCAGTCCAAAAGGAAACAGCCTCCCTCCACATAGCCTCCGGCCTCTGGCCCTTCACATCCTGGTACACACCTGCCAGAGTAGCCAAGGGCCCTGAGGACGGAGCACGACACAGTGTCAGGGTTTGCTTTTTTCACACTTCTTATGAAAGCAGCAGCAGATAAACTTCAATTTCTCACATTGAAGTCTAGAGAAACAAAAAAGCAACAAGTGCAGGGTCAGAGTATCCTGACGACAAAAATCGTGATCGTTTAAGAAGAAAATGGTAGAGAAATGCTTTTTGTGCTTCAGATTATGACATAAAAGCAAAAAGGATTAGTTTATGATTTAGAGATTAGATTTCTGCCTGTGAGGGAAGGCAGGGGCTGACTGTACTGTCTCAACTAAAGGGCATGTCTATAATTACAACAACCAAATTTACTGCACAAACACAACCACAGCACACCACTCTGTCATTGTGGAGTGTGTGCCTGAAGACGTGTGTGTACATTAAAAAGACTCTCATCTGTAGACAATGTCAGTTAAATGGTTGTTTCAAGTAAAAGTACCACAATATGTTTTTATGAAATGAGAACTGAAGCAGCAGAAGGTGATTTGCTCATCGAAACAAAATGGAGGACTCCCTTTAATACGTTTGATGGCCGACAGCTGCTGGTGTGACTGGTTAATGTCATCTCTCTAGACTCACTCCTAAGTTCCTGTTGTCCCAGCAGAGAAGCGTGCTGCAGCAGGCCGAGAAAGCGAGGCAGACTGTCGGTCACGATGCGACGCAGAGGGCTGTTCTGCCACACAGACGTCAAACTGTTGTCTCTGTGCCCCAGCAGCAGAGCCTCGGCTCGCTGGGAGACAAGAAGCGGCAGGGCGCTCAGCTCCTGGAGCAACTGGCTGTCTCTGGACTGCAGAAGAAGTAGTGAAGAGAAGCACATTAAAAGCTGCACATTTAAACCTGACATGATAAACCACTACATTTATTTGTGTGCATTAAATATCCTGCAGTAGTTTGTGTGTGTGCTGTGTGTTGTGGTTACCTGCCGTCTGAATTCAAGAAGGAGATGCTGCAAAGTCTTGATTCTCTCCAAAAGCTTATTCTGAATCTGAGAGCTCAAATATTGGCTACGTGCCTGTGAACACAACAACACACAGTATTTCAAAGTGTCACGCCATATTGTATTTCTTTGTACTTGTACTTCTTTTCCTGTTGGTCATACCTCCACTGCAGTTAGACTTTCCAAACAACCTCTTGCTGTCAGCATCAGCCTCTGATTGGTTGATCCCACAGACAAACTGCCCAGAGTCTCAGGTTCGCTGCTGCCATCTCTCTTCTGCACATCCAGCACCAAACTGCGATTTGTTCCCACACACGCCACCACAGTGATGGCCTCATTCAGATTTGTACCTGCACATGAAGAGACTAAATTCTTCATAATCATAGTTTGTATATTTTTGCAAGTATTAGAGAGAAGATTGTGTATTTACCGTTCATGTAACCTGCTGTGGTCTGAAGACATCGTCCCTTTGCCGTTCCGTTCAGCCAGATCCTCTCTCTGCGGTCCAGTCTGGCCTGCACATGGAGACCAGACCCTCTGGGCCAAGACAGGGCACTGCCCGCCACCTCCACACTCCAATTACCCATCCTGGACTGTAAAGTGTACACACACACACAACCATATAAGAGTCTTTGGTCAGCTCATTTTGTTTTACTATCATCATTATTATTTTATTATTTAGTTTCTTATTTCTTATCCGTTGTTCTTGCTTACCTTAGCTTTTTTGTCTTTAGATAGTTCTTCATTCTATCTCATTATTTTGATATCACCTATTATTTGATTTCCTAATAACTTCAATGCCACATGCACAATTGTATGGACTATGAAAATGAACACTGAATGTAGTAATGTAATGAATGTGAAACGTATATCTGCTCAATAAAAACATGTTAAAAATACAATATATAGAATAAGCAATATGCATCAAAAACATAGCAATACATAAAAATAAGATATAACAATAAACCCTTGATGAATAAAAGGTCAGACACAAGGACCACAGGAAAGCAAGGCTATAAAAGTGTAAATTAATTGATAACCATCCTAATCTCCACTGAAAGGTTGTTCTAAAGCCCGGGGGCTCTAATGCCAAACACTTAGTCTCCTCTGTGTTTTAATCTGGATTTAGGAACTATCAGGACAGCGTTTGAGGACGTCAAGGTCCGTGAAGGCACATGGGGATAAAGAGGTCAGAGATAAAGCTGGGGGTCAACACATTCCAAGGTTTAACAGTAATAATTAAAATCTTAAAATCCACCCTGAAACTAACAAGCAGCCAGTGAAAAGATGAAAGGATCGGTGTTATGTGCTCGGGTTTTCTTGGCAGAAGTATTTTGGATTAGTTGTAGAGAGTAGACACAGAGTAGCAGCTACTGTGTATATTTAATCCAATTCTACTAATGCTATTCCGCAATAAAGTCCTAGCATCAGTGTAATAAATTTATTGCACCCAAAAGCATAAAAATGAAGTGCCCTGTTTAACTACAGTTGTTAACTGAGACACATTACTGCGAAGTAATCACTAGCTGTTTACCTCAGAGTACAGAGACATGTTGGAGCCCTGAGCAGTTGAGGAGTTGGTCAGGGCGAAGGTGAGGCTGCACTGGTGTGGCCGCCCTGTCACCAACAAGCGAGACTGTGTGTAAAACAGCTCCTCTCCTGAGTTCACCCTGTGGGATCCTGACCACGACAAAGTCTGAGAGACACACCCAGAGAAAAAACAGCAGCTGAAGAAAGGAAGTAGGCAACATGTAAATCTGAAAACTTTAGAAATATACTTATATATGGTGTATGGTGTGTGTTCAAATAGAAAGTCTTCAAATCGTTCAAAATGCTGTAGCTAGAATTTTAACTAACAACAGAAATCTGATCATATTACACCAATTTTACACTAATTTACTTCTTGGTTCCTGATTGATGTGCTTCTAAAGGCCTTAACAGACAAAAGTGTAAAAGAACTCTCAGAATACTGGGCTCCTTTGTGTCCTCTTCCAGGTCTCCATGGTGAAGAGGGGGTTGTGGCTCAGGTAACCTGACTGCACCAGATGGTTTGTTACACACAATCTTCTTGTTTGACAGGGGTGTTTTCAGAGGGAGGGCCTGGGGTAGCATTGGCCCACACCTGAAATCTAACTAGCCATGTGCTACCCCATTATTCTTACGTCTTCCACTTCACAGTGAGTGAAGACCTAACGTATCCATGTCATGTTACTATGACGGGAAGGAGGCTAAATAACACTATATACATACATTTTGGAGATGGAAAAACTGACATGGACATTTTCGAAGGGATCTCTTGACCTCTGACCTCAAGATATCTGAATGAAAATGGGTTCTGTTGCTACCTTTTGCAAACATGCCCACGTTATGCTAATCCCATGTCCCATCCCAAATATTTGGGCAAAAACCATGCGTTAATGTGTTATTTTTCCTAGGGTATTTGAATATTTCTGCATACTGGTGTCCCTAAACAGTTTTAGAATTGCATAAATTGGTAATGACTGGAATGTGGAGACACATTCTTAATGCAATCCCTGTATAAGTCAGTGCCACCATAGTTAGAAAAGCCTGGAAACGCTCCTGTAGCACGATGATCCTGTGCATCCAGCTGCCTAGCAAGATTATGGCTCAGGTCCCACTCTGTGACTCTGGATTCCCATTCTTCACATACATTTTAAAATCTTCGTGCATCACAATTTGTGTATAAAATGATTTTGTTGGGCTGCTCTGTACACGTGACATCTATTGCATGTCTGTCCGTCCTGTAAAGGGGGCTCCTCCTCTGTGGCTCTTCCTGATATTTCTTTTTTGTTTTATGGGTTGTGTTTTTTTTCCTTATCAAAATCGAAAAGTCTCAGGATATAGGGTTTTGGATGGTGTGCAGACTGTAAAGCCCCCTGAGGACGATTGTAGTTTGTGATTTTGGGCTATATAAATAAAATTTGACTTGACTTGACAAATATAAGAAATAGATAAGACACTTTCGCCCAGGGACATAAATTCAGAGCTTGTTTATCACAGTTCAAACAGAGACAGACAGACCATTACTCATTTATACCAACACAGCAGCTGCAATCTCTCCACTTCACCACGAATCTTTCAGTCGAGTCTTTAGATGTGGGAGAAAACTATTAATCATATGTATGAGAAAGAAAGTAAGAAATGCAGATGTGTGGACTCACGGGTTGTGGGGGGCACAGGCCCAGCAGGACTGTGTGCTCCAAGCGATCCCTGAGGTTGGTCTGGACCTTTGTCAGGATTGTGTGTGAAGGACAGGGTGCTGGAGACACTTTGTCAAGACCGACATTAACCTGAAGGCTGTGCATTCCCCGTGGATCCTTCTAGAAACAGCACAGGAACCCAAACTGAGATGTTTTCAACACACCATCCATCTGCAGTCACACAAAGAGAGTATGAATCATAGAAGTTTCAGTATGGAGCAGAGTACCTGGTACTTCATGCCCTGCTTGACGCTCCTGTTGTCCCATCTCAGCTCTGCATTTTGTGAGTATGAGTTTCCCTCCTGGCCCACTGATACACAACCTTTAACAGAAGACACTACCATCTACACACACACAAACAGATCAAGTACTGAACAACCAATAAATATTTACTGTACACACAGAGACATCCAGGAGGATATGTAAACATCCACCAACCTGCTGTGTTGAGAACAGAGCACATGCCTGCCCCCTGCTGGAGTTGTTCTGCCACTGTTTGTTCAGGTTAAGGGAGATGTTGACGGGGACTGAGCTGTCCCATGACAGATGGGTCTGCATGCACAATGAATAGATAAATAAACATAAACTAAGCTCCACACAAAATATCTTCAAATGTGTAAATATGATAGAATATTTTAAATAAAATATGTATGCAGCTTTTACAGTGTGATATAGAAACTTGAAGCCACCAGTGCACAAACACTGAGAGTGGACTTTACAGTGAAATTGGAGACATCTTGTGTCCAGCAGAGAAACATTTGAAACAAACACAATTTGCATATTCATAGATTCTGGACTATTTAATCAGGAAGAAAGATTGGAGGCCAAGTTTTTTTTTTTTTTTTTAAACAGAATTAGAGTTACAATTTGTTAAGAATACAGTTTAAAATGTATTAGAAGAACATGAGCTTTAGTTTTAAGAAATGAGTCAAATTACAAAAAATGGTGAGACACATTTCTGGGTTTAATGACTAGCTAAAATAATACGTAGTGTTTCAATAGTGTTAAAAGAACAAGTAAAAGTGTGGCAGCTTACTTGGTGGCTGCTGCGTCGTTCTCTCTGAGAGCTGTGTGACAGCATGTGAAGGGACATCTGGCTAAGTGTGGAGGAGAAGGGCTGTTTCAGCTCTAGTTTGGTCTCATTCATCTCCTCTGATCGTCTCCACGAGCTGAGAGCTCTGACCTTGAGACGAAAAAAACATAGTTTATGATTACAGAAAGCAGAGCAGATATCCAAACAGACGCTCACGTGTTATTTGCCGGAGTAATGAAGCACCAGATTAATTTTAATGAAATGTTCAGTCACAACTGAATCTGATAACTATATATTCAAAAAGACAAAAAAGGAGAGAAAACGATGTTTGTATTTCGAACATGAAACACTTTGTACAGTCGGACCTGCTCCAGTCGGCCATGCCTCGTCCAGCCCAGAAAAATACTGTCCAGTCGACCCTTTAAGGAACGTTCCAGTGTCGCCTCCAAACTAGTCAAACGGGGAACGCAGTTGATCTGAACTGCAGTCAATGACAAGAGAAAAACATCAACCATCTGCAGTCAGTCAAAATCTTATGTCGTAAATCTTAATAGCTCCATGTTTTCTATTTTTAGCCCTGATGTAGGCCTCCTGTTAGATGTGATGGAAATGGACAAACGTCGGCTCTGTGATAGTTGTAATAGATGCAGCATACCCTTCAGGGTCTGGTTCCCCATCTCCAGTGCTGGAGGTGCAGAGTACAGACCAGACAGGCTGAACTCCTGATTGCCCCACACAGCTCCATGTTGAATTTGGTAGCTCCAGTTTCTGGCCTCATAAACCGTCCTCACTGCGACAGTCCTGGGCAGCGGCTTCAACTACAGAACAAAGACAATCACTGAAACATTGGGGGTGTGGGTTCATCTCGATGTTCAGGCTTCGCAAAATACAAAAATGTCTATTAAAGATTGCTGATAGATTAAAGTGTACTTTTTTATGCCTGACACGTACATATTATAAAATATATCATCCAAAGTGATGCATGCGGTCATCCTTGACAACACAATTAGCGCAATATTGCCAATGAAAATGTCTGTGACTTAACACATAATAAAGTCTGACATGTAAATACTACATACAATATATACACTATATTCACAATAAAGCTATATTTTAGCTCAGAAATACCTGTGGGTATGAGTGTTTGAGCTCTACAGCCTGTCTGTATCCACTCTCTATAGCTACCAGTTCCCCCAGAGCCCACAGCCTCCTCCTGCCTGATAACACCTCCACCAAACCTGCAACACTGGACTGGGACTGATTCAGCTGTAGAGAGGGAAGCGAGATGCAACATGTGTAGTGCTGTAACATCAACAGCATAACAAGTGTAATTGTAATTTATGTCACACCTGATGCAGACATTTAGCTTCATTCTGATTTAAATTTAAATAAGAGTGCCTTTGAGAATATGAGCACACCTGAGTACGGACGTTGAGCTGAGACGGCAGGTAAACCAACATCCTGGGAATATTCTGGACCACCTTCACCATCAGGTCCTTGCTGGACAAAAGAATATCTGTCACTTATGATGTGTGTAAGTTTAATTTTCAGATGGTGGTTATAAACAATGAGGCAGCATTACCTGTGTGGTTTCTGTATGTGTGTGTGTGTGTGTGTGTGTTTACTGTACCTATGAGGCAGATGGTGTCCCTGGATGATGAGTGCCAGTGAGGAGCTGAGTTCAGGGTTCACTGCTATGGAGCACCTCAGCTGTGAGTCAGTAAGTCTTCCCCAGGCCTCCACCTACAGCCACAGAGACCGTGAGTACAGAGAAGGAGAGTTGTGGGAATTTTGAGTCTGTGTTATCCTCACCTGTAACGTAGGACTAGTTTTTCCCTGTAGGGTGTGTTTTAGTGTGACTCTGGCCTCCTTGGACCCTCCGTGTGCCCCCCAGCCTCCTACATCCCCTACCAGTTGGACTCTCCAGGTGTCGCAGTAAAGGTCTAATGAGGCACTTTGCAGAGGACCTGCAGAGAGGATCAGAGTACGAAGTTACTTAGAAAAGCCTTTTGCATTTTTAAAATGAATATTCCCGTCTTACCAAGTGAAATGGAAAATTTAATCTAAAAAATACTAATATACCACTTTGAATCAATTGTTGCTCTCAAATAATTTATAAATTCAAATGGGGACATCTGCTGGTCAGTCTGTGATACTGCACTCGAATGATAGGATGTAAGGGACCAGCATGTCGGACTTAGTGCCATCTAGCAGTGTAGTTGCAGATGGCCACTCCCTTGCTTCACCCTCCTCTTTCAAACACAAAGGAGAAGCTATGGTGACTGAGAAAAACACATAAAAAAAACACAAATGCCCTCCAGAGCAAGCAAGGGTTTGTCCCTTCTGGGCTACTGTAAAAATATGGCCGACTCCGTGGACTCCATATTAAATGCAGCTGTTAATACAATCTGACCTTTGAACTGAGCAGTCAGGGTAGTGTGTAGACTGGGCCGGGTCCCTGTTCGATTAGAGGCTGCTGGTGGAGAGTAGGAGAGCAGCAGGGCCAGACGTCCATCAGCCACACTGACATTCAAGCCAGAGGCGAGCAGCTTGTGTCTGTCCACAGTAAACTCAGCCCTGGACTGAAGCTGGGAAAAGACTCCCTGCATGGAACAGAGGCCCTTGGAGAAGAAAATCACAAGAGAGACGTTTGTTTTTGTTCTTTATCCACTCTTATAAATACCAGTTCAATAAACCAATATAATGTAAAGAACAAAAACATGAATGTATTATGTTACCTCCATATTAAACGGCAGCCCTCTCTCCTGTAGCCATGACCACCTGTGCCACATGGTCCCTCTTATCTCTTTGGTCCCTGGGAGACATTTCATCTTAAGTCTCACTCCCGCCTGCTGACCTCCAAACTGGGACTGTAAGATCAAGGCCTTCCCCTCAGCAGAACCAATCTCTACCTGCACACACCGTCACTGATATCAAACATCTGAGGGACTGTACACCTTCAGTAAGTGTTTTAACTGTCAGTTCTTTTTTGGTTAAATCTATTTCAGTTTCTCACCTGGATGCTGTTGTTTGCAGGGAGTCCGAGTTTATTCAGATAGTTCACTGTGTGTCTAAAATGGCTCTTCACTCCGACTGTTTCAGACATCCGTGTCACTGTCATCTCTTGAGTTAGCTGTAAAACATTCAGAATATCAACTGCAGCAGCTGTTTCTATAAAGGTTATAAAGGAAACATGCACACAGATAAAAATAGATTTCTTCTTTGTGCTTCTGGCTGATTTTTTTCTAATATGTGGTTATAAGTGAATATGCAGGATATTTTCATGGTCTTGGACACCAAGAAACTGTTTCATAGAGTGCAAATGCTGCCTCCTACCTTTTGATTTCCTGCACTGCTGTGTAATAGGTAATAGTACGAGCCATTGCCATGACTCCCAGAATTCACTGTTACTGCAGCATTAGCAGGGAGACCCAGCTTCTTCAACAGGGGCACAGAGTGGTTTAGATTAAGCGAGGCTTCATTTTTATCCTGCAACAACAACAACCAGCCCTGAATTATGATGCCACATCCTCAGTCCTCGAAATATCAAAGCTACATATTTTTATTACTACCAGTGAAATCTAAATTTAATTGCATTTAAAAGGCAAATAATTAACATTTTTTTAATGTAATAAATGTAAAATCACAATTGTTTTCATGTATATCCACACCTTGGTTTTCTTAAGAGCCACTGAAGCCTGTAATTCTGTGTCATCTATCACCATGGAGACCTGAGATTCGGCGAGAGCTGGGGAGACGACCAACAACCCGGAGGACTGCATCCTGTCTGGACTACCCCACTCCTACAAACATGATCAGAAAGTGATATAGTGAAGTTATTATAGTTTGATAAGCAGTCAGATAATTATGAATGAAATAATTCATTATCAGTGGCAGGTTTGTTTTACCTGAATCACTGTGCAGTTGTTGTGATACACCAGCGACCCCTGCAGGCCTCTCTGTGACATCACAACGCCACTGGCTCTGACAGTACACTCCTCCATCTGAATGAGGACTTCTGTGTCATAGCGTTGTTTTCCGGCCCTACCGGTTACTCTCAGTCTGCTGTGCTGTGGTAAATGTTTGAGAGCAGGAAGGTTGTGACGGAGCTCACCCTCCACACTCAGCTCTGGCCAGGCCCTTGCATTCAGCCTCAGGAAACCCCTTTTGCCCTCCAGATCAGTGTCCATCAGGACTGTCCAGATACCCTGAGGGTCCTGCCACACTGAGCCATTTAAATGTGCCTAGAATGGACAGAACACCAATGTCATTATGACCGACAGTAGCAAATAAACAAATAAACACACATCAGTGGATTCTTCAAAGGAATATTGATTAGAATAAAGATCAGAATACATTTTTGAGGGTGGGTTATACTCTAAGTCAGGGGGATGTTAGAGTCAAATATAACAATACATAGGCTATGTGTAACAACCACATAGATGGTGGACTCCTGCGTGTAATGTTGACTTGTGACTGTAAACATTAGGACATTGTTAGGGTCTGGTTTTTGGAATTACTAACA